CTCCTAGCGGTCCCTGAACTCCAGCACATATGGCACAATGGGTGTCCCATCTGTACTACTTTCTCCCTCCCAGTGCTCCCTAATTAAATCTAAATTCTCCCAAACAGTAGTTCAAAGGGAGAAAATCCCATAGACTCTTGGGGTACCACTCTATATGCGAATAGCAGATAGGGTAGGAATCACTCCCAGTCCTTATGGGCCTCTCCAAAGGTACGGAGCATCTGCTTTAATGTCCCATTAAACCTTTCACATAACTCATTAGACTGAGGGTGGTACGCAGAGTTCACAATAGGCTTAATACCACATATTCTCCATAGTTGGTGGGTCACCTTGGCCGTGAACTGCGTACCCCTATCTGATATGATCTCCTGGGGGAACCCCACTCGTGAGAATACTTTCATTAAGGCCTCGGCCACTGTCTCGGCGTGGATATTGGAGAGGGCTACTGCTTCGGGGTATCGGGTGGAGTAGTCTACTATGGTTAAGAGATATCTCTTGCCGGAGGGACTGGGTTTTGTTAAGGGTCCTACTATATCTACGGCCACTCTACTAAATGGTTCTTCTATGATGGGCAGTGAGCATAACTTGGCCTTGTGGCGGTCACCCCTCTTGCCTACTCACTGACAGATGTCACATGTCTGGCAGTACTGCCGCACATCCTTGGATATACCCGGCCAGAAAAAGGCGTGGGTCAAGTGGTATCGAGTGCGAGTCATCCCCAGATGCCCAGACAAGGGGATGTCATGAATGATCCGAAGAAGTTCCTGCCTATATTTCTGGGGGACTTCTAGCTGTCTAGTAGTCACATTCACAGATCCCCCCACTACCCTTTCAGCAATACTGTACAGTAACCCCTTTTTCCCAGTTTACCGCTCTCCCTCTAATCCGTCCTGGTCAGAGATCACCCTATCCCTGTACACTTTTAACGTATCTTAACCTCTGCCTCAAATTCAGTAGGGGTATCCCAGGTAACACGGGTCGTAGGAGGGTCACTTTCTCTTACCTGAGTGCATTGATGGAGCCGTGGTGCGAGCCTGTTGCCTTGTGGTTACTGGGTGAGCCTCTTGGAGTGGAGCTTGAGGTATAAAGGTGGAAGTAATTCGACCCAGGTCGTTCCCCAATACGACATCCACCGGCAGCTTCTGCATCAGGCCCACCTCTACCATCCCTACCCCAACACCCCAATTCAAATGTACTTTTGCGGTGGGTAATCTGTATTCTGCTCCCCCTGCTACTGGCACTGCTACGGATCCGCCGGTATGTGCTGAGTCTGGAACCAAATGAGGGGCTACCAGAGTCCGAGTGGCCCCTGAATCCCGGAGCCCTTGGACCTCTTTCCCTTCAGGGTTACTAGCTGGCGATGGTGTTGCCTGTTGTCTGTGGCTTGTACTGACATCACATCGTGTAGTATCCCCAGGGGCACTTCAGTCTGATTAAAGAGTGTCTCCTGGGTTGCTGGCTCCGCTTGGTAGTGGTGGGTGGCTGCTCTTTGTGCTTGGTTCGGCTGCACTTGGCTCCATGCTTGATGGCTCCGGATCTGGGTACACTCTCTCGCCATGTGCCCCATTGTTTGCACGTATGGCACTGGATATTCGCTCTGCCATTATATCTGGATGGTGGAGTGTGCCCCCCCGGGGTTAGCCGGAATGGGGTTGCTGTAGGTGCAGTAGGGGTAGCTGTATGAGGTTGAGCGGTGGGTCGAGGGTATCCTCGGTTGAGGTTACCGTGATGCCTCCTGGCGTCATAGTGCTGGTCGGCTAGTCGTGCAACTTCTGTTAGGGTGAGGGGTTTTCTATCTCTCACCCATTCCTGTGCCTCTGGGGACAGGCCATTGAAAAATTGTTCCAACAGCAGCAATTGCCGTAACTCCTCCATGGTGGTTGCTTGACTAGCTTGTATCCACCCCTGGGAGGCTTGGTCCAGTTTGTGGGCCCACTCTGCGTGGGAATCTTTCTCTGGTTTGCGCAACCCTCGAAACTTGTGCCGGTATGCCTCCAGGGTAATGGCGTATCTTTCTAGTATAGCCTGTTTTACCCGGGCATAATCTTTGTTGTCCTCCCTGGGTACAGCCCGATAGGCTACTGCTGCCCGACCTGACAGTTTGCATGCCAGTAACGGGGAGGGGGTGTGTGATAGTAGTGTGGCCCAGCAGGGCACTAGGGCATCCTGAACAGATTGGTGTACCGGAACATGAGTGCAGATGGCAGGCTGCACTAACCGGTATCTGTAACCAATTAAAAACTCCATGATGTTACATGCCACACTATGTAGATATACCAGGGAGCGAGGTAGTAATGCGTCCGCCACAACACCCTGTCTCCCAGGAGGGGGTGGGGTGATGTGGCTGTGAAGTGTAGTAGACAAGTTGGCCGTACATTTGGAGAACACTCCGGTGTAACGCACATACCCTCTGTAAGCGTGAGGAGTATTTAAACGGTGAAGTTGTTTTTTAGGATTTGGGACGTTGTGTAGGGGAAGTGGCCGGTAACGCAGTGGGGCAGTGCCAACAATGTTTGAACTTGGGTGTAGACAGTGAACAACGCTAGACGAGCATCATAATGAGGCATAAACAGTATGTGCTACATGCACAACTCCATAAACAACACATACCGGTACATATTACACATTTGGTAAGTCAAATCCTACCCAGTGGGATAGACCAGGCATGAGGGACTGATGGTATCATCACTACAATTACATTATTATTTTCAATACCGTCTGCACTATATTGTATTCCTTGTATTTTTTCTTAACATGCACCCTATACTCTACCATTGAATGAAATACCATTTGGTAAGCTGTATATGTGTTGGAGCGCTCCACTTACTGGTATAAGTCTTTTTGTTACTTAAACCACACCAATAATTTTAATTCTGTCTTGTGGAATAGAGGATATTTCCACATAAGTGTACTGAGCAGCCTGTAAATCACCTTATTTGTTTAAAGCACCCTGTTATACACACTCCTCTGTAAAAGGAGGTAACCTATGATTGGTATTCAGAGGTGTTTCCTAGTCCAGTGCTGCACAGTGTGTAACACCTACATTCAGCATCTCTACACTCTGCATGGAGACACTGAACTTTCTCCATAGAGATACATTGTTTCAACTCATCGCTATGAGTGGATGCTAATAGTGCAGAGCAGTACTTTGCCGCACATGAGCAATAGCCTCCATTAGATGGATTAGATGAGATCATCATGATTGTGCCTGTGTGCCTGTGGGCCTGTGTCCCCATGTCTCCCAGCGACCCCATGTCTCTGTGTCCCCAATTGTCCCCATGTGTGTCTGATCCATGTCTCAGTGTCCCCATGTGTGTCTGTGTCTCCGTGTCTCCAAAAGTCCTGAAGTGTCTCAGCATCCCCAGAGGTTTCTCGGTGTCCCCATGTCTCACAGTGTCCCCTAGTGTCTCAGTGTCCCCATGTCTCCCTGCAGCCTTTACCCTATTCCTTACTTCCCTGAGCTGTAGGCTGTCTCTGCAGGCTGGGAGCTGCTGTCTGGACTCTCTGTGCTGTGTAGCTGCTCCCTGGCGAATCAGTGAGTAGAGAGATGCAGTTATATGCTGTAACTTCCTATCCCTGCCTCTCTCCACACACACAGCGACCTCTACTGGCCGGTGATAGTATTGCAGAGTAATCTCCGGCACCGCCATTTGTATTGCCGGTATTACTGCAGGTAAAAAACAGTATAGTGCTACATGCATAACAATCACTCCTTAAACTTCGCATACAGGTGCCATTTTCCCATTTGGTAGGTCAGATCCCACTCTGTAGTTTAGACATAGCATATAAACCAGATGGTCTGCTTAGGCTGGGGCTACCATGGTGTTACATGCGCAGCTGGTGAATATCACAAAGGGATACAGGACCCGGAAAACAGTTCCCAAGCTGCGGGGCAGACGGAGAGCGCCTCATGGGCAGCCTGGTATTACGTGGCTAGGAGGCAGGGGTGTGAAAGAGTTAAAAAAGGGGATATTAGCATGCACGGCAGTAGCGTGTCATGGGTGCTGGTAGATTGTAGGCAATAGGGTGCTACCTGCACAACTTTATAAACATGGGGTACAAGTACAGATTATACGATTCGTAAGTCAGATCTCGCATGAGTTACACATGCATATGAAACGGATGGTCTGGGTAGGTGAACGATAACATGGTACAACTATTAAACAGTATAGAAGGGTACAAATTCAGTGTGGCATATCTTAAACCTGCTGTACTCTGTAGGACCACTCATAAGTATGTCCTTAGAGGAGAATAGTGATGTTGGTAGAATGTAGGCAATATAGTGCTACCTGCACAACTTTATAAACATGGGTACAAGTACGGATTATGCAATTCGTAAATCAGATCTCGCACTGTGCATTAGACATGCATATGAAACGGATGTTCTGGGGAGGTGAACAATAACATGGTACCACGTGTACAACTAGTAAAGAGTATAGAAGGGTACAAATTCAGTGTGACATATCTTAAACCTGTTGTACTCTGTAAGACATCTTAGTAATATGTCCCTAGAGGAGGACAAAGCCAGAGGGGTCTAGCATTGAATTATTGGCTGGGAAACATTAGCTGAATGTCAGTGCTAGTGCGCCGCCGAAGCGAAAATACTTGCAGTAAGATGTTAATTAGTTGTTTGCCAGTCCTTATCCACCCTCCGCAGTAGCTTGGGGGCCTGTGGGCAAGCTCCATGGATGTAGGAGTTTCACTCCATCTTCTACTGTGTGGATTTCTGTAGTAGTCCCATTTCTGGAGACTATCAGGCGACTAGGAAAGCCCCAACGGTATAGGATGCGTTTTTTGCGTAAGGTCTCTGTCACCCTCTGGAAGGCCGTTCACAGAGGGTGACAAAGAGATCGAAGAACAACTTGATACAGGGGTATTCAGCGGGAAGATCTTTCATAGTTATGCTCCTCTTCATCAGTAGGTCTTTCACGTAAAAGTAGTGTGCCTTCAACAGCACGTCTCTGGGTAATGATGCAGAGATTTGTTGGGGTTTCAGAACCCTATGCAGGTGGTCCAATAGCAGCATATCCATGGGGATCTTGGGAGCTAAGCATTTGAAAAAGCCAGGCACGTAACTGGATAGGTCTGCCGGGAGAAGACTCCTCCGGTATTCCCTGCAGCCTTATGTTGCTCCTTCTAGATCTGTCCTCGAGGTCCATGAGCTTTGCCTCACATTGGTGCAATTGGGCAGTGAGGGATCTGATCTGCTCCATAGATGCGTTATGCGCGTCGACCATGTCCTCCATTTTGGCCTCCACGTGTCTTGTGCAGGACCCGATGTCTTGCAAGCCACGCTTTATTTATGCAACGCTGGTTTACCAGATCGAGGTTAGTTTTTGGGATTGGTCATCCAGGGCTTGTTTGAAGAATGCAGTAGTAAGTATTTCTCCTTCCTGTGGTAAGTCCGCTTTTGATCTCGGACTGCTACCTCCAGCAAGCTCGGTGCCATCTTGTAGGTCTGCAACAGTGGCCTGCTTCCTTTTTCTGAGCGAAAAACTTAAATTTTTCAGGCTTGCCGGGTTGCCGTCAGGTTTTGGACTGCGACATCGCGGAGATGTCTTGTTGTCTCCCGCAGGGATCTCACAATTACGCAGTTTTGCCTAGCTCGTGGTGCAGAGCTAAGAGCTCAAGTGGCCATCTTTCTCCGCGTTCAGCCACGCCCAACAAATTTTATTTTAATACATAACCAGAACCATGTAGTGTTTACAAAAACAAGTGTATTTGTTTAAGAGATTGGAAAAAAATGTTTATACAAACTATAAACAAATTACTTTAATTTCTTTCATAACACTGTGGAGAGAGATGTTCAATTTCATCTCTGAAGAATGATTACAATATTATTATTTTGCGGTCTTTTGTAAATTGCAGGTATCAAATATTTACACTCTTAATTTTATTTATTTATATTGGTCCAGCCAGGGGCAATGGAGCTGTAGCTCCAGGCCCAGGCCCAGGCCCAGGCCCAGGCCCAGGCCCATGAAATAGGCCCATTGATTTTTATAAAAAAAAATATTTACTTTTTTTTTTTTACCAACTACTTTTAGAGTTGCTACCTGGCCGGTATTTATTTGAGGCTGCCTGGCCGGTGCCGATACTGCAGTAATACCGGCAATACAAATGGCGGTGTCGGAGATTACTCTGCAATAATATCACCGGCCAGTACAGGCTGCTGTGCGTGTGGAGAGAGGCAGGGATAGGAAGTTACAGCATATAACTGCATCTCTCTACTCACTGATTCGCCAGGGAGCAGCTACACAGCACAGAGAGTCCAGACAGCAGCTCCCAGCCTGCAGAGACAGCCTACAGCTCAGGGAAGTAAGGAATAGGGTAAAGGCTGCAGGGAGACATGGGGACACTGAGACACTAGGGGACACTGTGAAACATGGGGACACTGGGAAACCTCTGGGGATGCTGAGACACTTGAGGACTTTTGGAGACACGGGGACACAGACACACATGGGGACACTGAGACATGGATCAGACACACATGGGGACACTTGGGGACACAGAGACATGGGGTCGCTGGGAGACATGGGGACACAGGCACACAGGCACACAGGCACACAGGCACAATCATGATGATCTCATCTAATCCATCTAATGGAGGCTATTCCTCATGTGCGGCAAAGTACTGCTCTGCACTACTAGTATCCACTCATAGTGATGAGTTGAAACAATGTATCTCTATGGAGAAAGTTCAGTGTCTCCATGCAGAGTGTAGAGATGCTGAACGTAGGTGTTGCACACTGTGCAGCACTGGACTAGGAAACACCTCTGAATACCAATCAAAGGTTACCTCCTTTTACAGAGGAATGTGTATAACAGGGTGCTTTAAACAAATAAGGTGATTTACAGGCTACTCAGTACACTTATGTGGAAATACCCTCTATTCCACAAGACAGAATTAAAATTATTGGTGTGGTTTAAGTAACAAAAAGATTTATACCAATAAGTGGAGCGCTCCAACACATATACAGCTTACCAAATGGTATTTCATTCAATGGTAGAGTATAGGGTGCATGCTAAGAAAAAAATACAAGGAATACAATATAGTGCAGACGGTATTGAAAATAATAATGTATCTGGATAAATTGAACACTCACATTTCAAGGAGGCTTTATGTGAGAACACTGGCTCCGTATTTTGGCTTATGTGCTTATTAGGGTAGCACCGCCCGTCTCCTTCGGTATGGGGTAGTTCTCAAAGACAAAAACAGGAAGAACAAACCAATGTGTAGAAAGTGCTTGATGGAAACACAATATTATGAAAATAAGTGGTGTGCTCACCTGGTCCTGAGCCTGTGGGTCCCGGCTCTAGGTGTATGGGTATTGTGCCAATTTGAATGGGGATGGCACTGCCCCTGGGAAGATTCTCTTGAGGTTTCCAAAGAAGGACTTAAGAAGGATCTTGAGTAAAAGATAATGAATTTATTCAAGAGTAAAACAAATAAAAACAATTATAATAAAAAGTCCTTTAAAAAGTCCTCTTAAAAATAGCCAATACGCATTTCACTCCTTCTGTGGAGCTTCCTCAGTCAGCTGTGGTGTTAGTCCTCTGAATCTTCTATTTTAAGTGTTTTTTAGGGTCCTCCCCTTTAATGGGTTCAGTCCATTTTGTCCAATCATGATAAAGGTTGCATATCCTTCATGGAATAAATTTTGTGTATGTCCCTTTAATTGGATTGAGTTTCTGGCGCCTTTATTGTATCTCAATCTCATTGGTGGATCGTGGTTGGTTGGCGGAAGTAGTCCGTATATATCCGGGCGGTTGGCGGAAGTGACGTCACTGACCCACATGATCGCCATTCCGCCGCCGCCCCAAAGTCCCCTGACTCCCTGGCCGTGCCGCACGTCATCTCTGCGTGCAGGCCGGGGGGAGGGAATAGTAGAACGTGAGGAAATGGTGTGTGGCCACTCCGGCATTCTCCGCCCTTAGGGCTCCTCCCCCCGATCTGCAGGGACAATTGCCGTGTGCACGGAAAGAATACTCAGTGCAAGTCAGATCAGGGGAGAGCTCCTCTAAATAAATGTATGCTGTAATGACAAAATGTAGATAGTATAAATCAAGCAAAAAGAAGGTATATGCTATAAAGCATATGTGATACCCACAATCATGTTGTAAAGCCAACAGTGATTTATAATGATTAGTGAATGATATTAAAGTGCTAAGTGCTTATGGGTGATAATCTGCTCTTAAAGTGGTAGTCATAAATAGTTTATTATAGTGATAATTATATAAATTTTGAGTGGTGTTCATAAAGAGATCAGTAAAAATATAAAATGGCTGATGTAATGCCATTAAATAAGTATAAAAGTAAAAAATTAGAATATAATGAATGACAGATAAGACTTAAAAGGTAAAAATAAATACTGGAAATAAAAGAAAAATGAAAATGGAAATAAGTAAAGATGTAAATGTAAAAAATAGAGATGGGAGTGAGTACTGTATGGTGAATAAAGTGTATATTATGAAATTCTTTGTGTGTATGAGTGTGTAAGTATACACATATAAATAGTCATAAGTGAATAATTTAAATGAAATGACAGAGTTCGAAGTCTATATTCAAACTTTGGGGTTTTAAAGTCCCAAGGTTGAATATCCATTTCATCTCACTCTGTCCTAGTGATTTCAAAAAATCCCCTCTAGTGGCTGTCTGAAGTGTTACTAGCCAACAATTTGAACACTGCCTTTTCTCTGACAAAGCAGTGTTTACAGTGCTAACACTGCAGTTACATGCTATAGACATCCGAACAGGGGTCAAGTCCTGGGGAAAAAAGTGTGGGAACTCTCCCAAAAAAAACCCAAAACACTTGTATGTATGTGTGTGTATATATATATATATATATATATATATATATATATATATATACACACACACATACACACGCGTGCACACACACACATACACTCACACAGTGGTGTATTTTAATTTTATGCTGCCCTAGACATGACTATAGAGCACCCCCCTAATCTAAATTTACCACTCCTTCATGTCAAGGGCGCACCGCTTCTTGATTAAGAACCCACCCCTTCCTCTTTAGACTCCACCTTTTCCTGCTTGTAACGGACCGTTTAGCATAAAAGGGGAAAAAACCGCTTAGACGATAATCCCCCTTTCAGAGACAGGCACAGCTACTGTAGAATCACCAAAACTCACGAACCGCCAATAAGTGAATGCTCCAAACTCCCGAACGGCATACAAGGGAATAAGGTAGCACTTCAAATAAATGAACAGGAACCATACGAATAGCTGCTAGCAGGCGAACAGGAACGCTTCCAAGCGGCTTACACTCCTGGCAATCAGTCCTTAGCAGCATACAGTAAATCCCCCCAAAGACGAGACAAGGCTCCGTGTTGAGGGTCAAGCAGTGGTCTGTTTAATGAGGGCTACCTGCCCGGCTTTTATGCAGGTCTCCCACCTGGTGGACACTCCCCTAGGGGACCAAATGGGAGACTGTGACAAGGGACAGACAAGTATACAAATAGGACACACAGTCACAGTATATTCCCACAATGCATCCTGGCTTCCTCCCCTCTGCCCTGGGAGATAATTGGGAAGTAACTCAATTATCTCCCAAGACAAAGGCAAAACTCCATTACACACGTGGGAACACAAAACCAGCATAATACTTTAAAATGCACAAAGTAACATTTACTACATAAAACACAGACATGTAACATATCCCCAGATAGCTCAGGTCTGAGTGCACATTATTAGGTGAATGGCACTCAGACCACACGAATACAGTTTAATCGCCATGGAGCCAAAGTCTTTACAGTCAGTTTCATACGAATGGGCTCCATGGGATTCCTATCTGGGGTATAAGACATTCACACAAAAATACCGAACACCGGGTCATTCGTGTGCTTTCACCGAACAAGAAGGGAGGTCGGCGGCTTCAGCGGTGTTCGCGCAAAACTGTGTCCGATTTTAGTTCCATGAAAATAGAGGCGAACACCGCTGTTCATTCGTATGGTTTAAAATGGCCGCGACCTCGTGTTCGGGATACGAACGGCGGCCACCCAGCGTTCATCAATTAAGCTGCGGTTAACCGCAGCTTCAGGGAGGTTAATTGCCGGCACACTCCAGCTCCCAGGTGGTCCAGTCATTCGTACGGTTGTTCGGTAGATTGAAACTACCGAACAACCGGCAGAAAAGCACGAATACAGCTTTTCTGCATGGAAAAATAAAGTCTTTTAAAAGGGGGCCATAGTCCAAAGGCAGCAGGCGAGCAACCAGGCTTCTCCAATGCAATGTGGCGAGATTGGTCTCGTCACACTGCTCCTTTTAAAGAAATACTATAGTGCCAGGAAAACAAAGTTGTTTTCCTGGCACTATAATTCCGTATAGTGCCCCCCTCCTCTCATGTCCTCCCCTCCCCCACTCGACACTGGAGGGGTTAAAATCCTATGGGTATTTAGCAGATGCTGGATGTCCTCATGCACAGGGTGAGGACGTCCAGCATCAGTTAGGTGACTTTTGGTCACCTAACCACCCGAAAGTCCCTCTAGTGGCTGTCTGATAGACAGCCACTAGACTTGGAGTTACCCCTCAGGTAATTATTGCAGTTTCTGAGAAGGTTTAAGGGGACTGGGACACTGCACCCAGACCACTTCAAGGAGCTGAAGTAGTCTGGGTGCCTATAGTGTCCCTTTAAGCACACTGACAGACACCCACACTGGCAGATACACACTGACAGTAACACACACATTCAATGACAAACACACAGACTTCACTGATTTGACACACACATTCACTGACACACACTCATTCATTGACAGAGAGACACACACTCATTCATTGACAGAGAGACACACACTAATAGTCACACACACACTAAATGACAGACTCTCACTTATTTGACAGAAACTTACAATAACGTATGCACATACATGCAATTGCAAACATACACATGCATACACTAACAGAAGCACATACACTCACATACACACGTACAAACGCTAACAGACATAAATACACTCCTACACACACTGAGACAAACAGACATCCACAGACAGACATCCACAGACAGACATCCACAGACAGACATCCACACATCCAGACGTCCACAAACAGACATCCACACATCCACAGACATCCACACATCCACAAACAGACATCCACACATCCACAAACAGACATCCACACATCCACAAACAGACATCCACACATCCACAAACAGACATCCACACAACAGACATCCACAAACAGACATCCACAAACAGACATCCACACATCCACAAACAGACATCCACAAACAGACATCCACACATCCACAAACAGACATCACACACAGACATCCACACATCCACAGACATCCACACAGACATACACATACACAGACATCCACAAACAGACATCCACACATCCACAAACAGACATCCACAAACAGACATCCACACAACAGACATCCACACATCCACAAGACATCCACAAATCCACAGACATCCACATCCAGACATCCACACATCCACAAACAGACATCCACAAACAGACATCCACACATCCACAAACAGACATCCACACATCCACACAACAAACAGACATCCACACACAGACATCCACAAACAGACATCCACACATCCACAAACAGACATCCACAAACAGACATCCACACATATACAAACAGACATCCACAAACAGACATCCACACATCCACAAACAGACATCCACACATCCACAAACAGACATCCACAAACAGACATCCACAAACAGACATCCACAAACAGACATCCACAAACAGACATCCACAAACAGACATCCACAAACAGACATCCACAAACAGACATCCACAAACAGACATCCACAAACAGACATCCACAAACAGACATCCACACATCCACAGACATCCACACATCCACAGGCATCCACACATCCACAGGCATCCACACATCCACAAACCAACAAACAGACATCCACACATCCACAAACTGACATCCACACATCCACAAACCCACAAACAGACATCCACACATCCACAAACAGACATCCACACATCCACAAACAGACATCCACAGACAGACATCCACAGACAGACATCCACAGACAGACATCCACAGACAGACATCCACAAACAGACATCCACAGACAGACATCCACAGACAGACATCCACAGACAGACATCCACAGACAGACATCCACTAACAGACATCCACAGACAGACATCCACACATCCACAAACAGACATCCACAAACAGACATCCACAAACAGACATCCACAAACAGACATCCACAAACAGACATCCACACATACACAGACATCCACACATACACAGACATCCACAGACATCCACACATCCACAAACAGACATCCACAAACAGACATCCACACATCCACAAACCCACAGACATCCACACATCCACAAACAGACATCCACAAACAGACATCCACAAACAGACATCCACAGATCCACAGACAACCACAGATCCACAGACATCCACAGACATCCACACATCCACAAACCCACAAACAGACATCCACAAACCCACAAACAGACATCCACAAACAGACATCCACAAACAGACATCCACACATCCACAGACATCCACACATCCACAAACAGACATCCACATCCACACATCCACAAACAGACATACAGACATCCACAAACAGACATCCACAAATACACACACAGACATCCACACATCCACACACAGACATCCACACATCCACAAACAGACATCCACACACAGACATCCACACATCCACACACAGACATCCACACATCCACAAACAGACATCCACACATCCACATCCACACATCCACAAACAGACATCCACAAATCCACAAACAGACATCCACACATCCACAAACAGACATCCACACATCCACAGACATCCACACATCCACAAACAGACATCCACATCCACACATCCACAAACAGACATACAGACATCCACAAACAGACATCCACATATCCACAAACAGACATCCACACATCCACAAACAGACATCCACAAATAGACATCCACAAACAGACATCCACATATCCACAAACAGACATCCACATCCACACATCCACAAACAGACATCCACACATCCACAAACAGACATCCACACATCCACAAACAGACATCCACACATCCACAAACAGACATCCACACATACAGACATCCACACATCCACAAACAGACATCCACAAATAGACATCCACAAATCCACAAACAGACATCCACACATCCACAAACAGACATCCACACATCCACAAACAGACATCCACACATCCACAAACAGACATCCACATCCACACATCCACAAACAGACATCCACACATACAGACATCCACAAACAGACATCCACAAATAGACATCCACAAACAGACATCCACACATACACAGACATCCACACATACACAGACATCCACAAACAGACATCCACACATCCACAAACAGACATCCACATCCACACATCCACAAACAGACATCCACAAACAGACATGCATATATACAAATTAATAATAATATAAAAAAATTAACATTTCCCACCCTACCAGCATCCCTACCTTTCCCTGGGGTCCAGTGGGGCTGCAGTGAGGACGGCTCTCTCCCTGTCACACGCGGAGAGGGAGCTGTGTGCTCTCTGCTCCCTCTCGCTGCGCGGGATGTCTGCTGATGCCGGGACCCGGAATATGACGTCATCAACCCGGCTCCCAGCATCAGCAGACATCCCGCGCGGCGAGAGGGAGCAGAGAGCACACAGCTCCCTCTCCGCGTGTGACAGGAAGAGAGCCGTTCACCGGGGGGCAATCCATCAGGTTGCCCCCCCCCCCATGACAGGGGAAACAAGGGGAGGCATTTGGGGGCGGCATTTTTTGCCGCCCCCTGAGTGCCTGCAGGGGGAACGGCGTTCCTGCTGTGAAAAAAGTGCAGGAACGCCGTTCCCACGCGTTCCTGCAGGACTCGAGCCTTGCATCCGAACCACTACATTAACCTCCATGGCGATCTGATTATGTCAGTATTTTTCAATGTTAAAGCGGTACATTGTTTTGTATGGAAATTTGTTGTTTCATATTGTAGGCTTGTAATTCTTAGGAATAATCACTTAAATATGTCCAAACAAGAGTCTAGTACACATAACGGGTATGATAAAGTTTGAAACGAAATTATAATATAATAAATAATTATAAAAAATAATATAATAAATTTAATAATGTAATCAAATCAAAAACACTGAAATTTGTCCAAACAAGAGTGCAATATTACTAGTCACTGTAATACTAGACACTGCATATTGGTTTAGTAAACATCCAGGGTATTATTATTATTTTATTATTTATATAGCGCCATCAGATTCTGTAGCGCTGTACAATGGCGCTACAGAATTGTAACCAGACAACTGGACGTACAGGAACAGAGAGGTGGAGGGCCCTGCTCAATGAGCTTACATTCTAGAGGGAGTGGGGTATAGTGACACAAAGGGTAAAAGTAGGGGTACAAAGTAGGTTGTTAGAAAAATATTCACTGAGGGCTTAGTGGGTAATTTTTGACAGTTGCAGGAGAGAAGTCATGGGGGTCGGGGATAAAAACCTGCTAACAGTTTAATTGATATGCTTTTTTTTGAATAAGTGAGTTTTCAATGATTTTTTGAATGAGTGGAGACTGGGTGAAAGTCCTACGGAGAAGGGAAGGGAGTTCCACAGAAGAGGTGCAGCCCTGGAGAAATCTTGGAGGCGAGCATTAGAGGTGGGAGTACGGACAGAGGATATACGTAGGTCTTTTGGCAGAGCCTTGACGAGACATACTTGTGTAATAGGGAGGATAGGTAGGTTGGAGCAGCATTATGTAGGGACTTGTAAGCAAGCACCAGAATTTAAAATTGAGCCCTATATCTAACTGGAGGCCAATGCAGGGACCGACAGAGCAGGGAGGCATGGAAGGTGCGAGCAGACAGAAAAATGAGCCTCGCCGCCGCATTCATTATAGATTGCAGTGGTGCAATCTGGGAACATGTAAGACCACTGAGAAGGGTATTGTAGTAATGACGGCAAGAGAGAACAACAGCATGGACCAGCACCTTAGCTGCATCCGGGGTTAAATAGGGGAGCGACAGGATTTGGGATTAATTGGACATGAGGGGTTAAGGAGAGGCTGGAGTCGAAAATAACACCCAAGCAGGCAGCCTGCAAAGTTCTGTTTTGGACAGGTTGAGTTTAAGGAAGTGAGCAACCATCCAGTTGGAAATCACAGAGAGGCAGTTAGAGACATTAGTCAAGATGGGAAGAGAGAGATCAGGAGAGGACAGGTAGATTTGCATGCCATCTGCATATAAATGATAGCCAAAGGAGCTGATGAGTTTACGAAGGGAGGCAGTATAGATAGAGAACAGTAGGGGACCTTGGGGAAGGACAGAACCTTGGGGAACGCCGACAGAGAGTGGTTGGGGGGAAGAGGCAGAGTCAGAGAAAGAAACACTGAAAGTGCGCTGGAAGAGGTAGGAGGAGCACCAAGAGAGAGCAGTATCCCGTAGACCAAAATTACGGAGAATGTGAAGAAGTTGTTGATGATCAACAGTGTCAAAGGCAACAAAAAGATCAAGGAGAATTAGGATAGAGTAATGGCCTCGAGATTTAGCAGCAATTAAATCGTTGCATACTTTGGTCACAGCCATTTCGACAGAATGACCAGCGCGGAATCCAGACTGAAGGGGGTCAAAGAGTTGGATTCGAGAAAGTCAGTCAGTCTGGTGTACACAACTCTCTCTCGAGGATCTTGGAGGCAAATGGCAGTGGCGAGATAGGGCGGTGGTTGGATGGGGAGTTGGGGTCAAGGTTGGGCTTTTTCAGAATTAGGGTTACAGTTGAATGTTTGAAGGGTGAGGGAAATGTGCCAGAGGAAAGGGAGGAATTGAAAATTTTAGAGAGGAAGAGCAAGAGAGGGAGACAAAGCGTGGATGAGATATGAGGGAATAGGATCGAGGGAACAGGTGGTGGGGTGGGAGGACCGGAGCAGTGCAGAAACCTCTTCTGCTGTAGCAGGTGCAAATGAGTGTAGAATGGTGGAGGGAGTGGGGTTGGATGATGTATTGGTAGGGGAAAGAGAGAAATTAGTGATATCTTCTCTGATTGTAGAGATCTTCTCAGTGAAGTGAGATGCAAAGCTTGTGGGGGACAAGGTGGCAGAAGGAGGGGTATGAAAAATTTTGTAACATGGGACTGCACAAAGTCTGACATCACAATTAGGACAATATAACCTGGTTTCCTTTTTGATTTTCTTTCCACTGTCATCTCGCTTTGAGCAACAAACCATGCACATGCTTTTGGTGCTGACTTTTTCTCGGTTGGTGAGATGTAGTCCATGAAGTGACGACCAGTCAGGCATTCCAGGTTGACAATGCCAACAGCACGACGTCCAGCTCTATTCACAGCCATTTGAGGGTGTTTGGTGGTTCACAAAGATACGTTCATCAACTTTCCAGAATGAATCACAGGCTTGTCACTTTTTTTTATCAGAACGTAGGCATTCCACAAGCATTGCTCAAGAAGATGCCTGAAGATCTTCTTGTAGTACTTCTTTTGCTGTTTCCTCATTGCTGGGTAGAATGTCATTGCTTGGTCAGCTCTGTCGACACCTCCCATGGTGTTATTTTAGTCTATCACTACTTGTGGCTTCATGATTTCTTTCCCACCTAACAGTGGACCTATTATGAACTGTACTAATTAGGCACACATTTTTCTTGTCACGTCATCACAGTGCCATCATTTTGCCTTTTTGCCAGGCAACCATTTCTCCAGTCTTCAGCTTCCTATTGCCAAACATTAGCGGCATGTCGCACCGGTTAGTCCTAACGGTTCCATAGGCATCTGTTTTGTTTTGCAGAAGTAACTCATAAAGTTCAGGAGATGTATAAAAGTTGTTGGCTGTTATGCAACAGCCCTTATTTAGCAATGACTCAATGAGTGAAAGAACGGAAGATGTTGCCATTCCATAGTTGCTGTATTTTAGATTGAATTTTGTTCCTTTTCCAGTGTAAATGACTGAATTCCAAATGTTGCCAGTTTATCGATTCGCATAGCATGTAGGATTTTACGCCAAATCGTGCTCTCTTTGATGCAATGTATTGTACCCAGCTGAGCCTTCCCTTGTAGGCCATTAAACTTTCATGTATGCTGATATCTCTTTCTGGCACATAGCTCAGTTTTTTTTAGAATCATTTGAGATACTTTCCACATATTCTTTAGTTTAGGTGCAGGATGAGTACATTCATCAAATTCTGCGTTGTTTTTGAAGTGTA